GGGCAGGAGGCACCATCGGGGGCACACGAGGGTCCCAACACAGAGGGCCAGGTGCAGGCTGGGGCGGCTCCAACCCCCCCCCCGGGGCAAACACCCCCCCCCCCCGCCCCCCCCCCAGGGGACACAGAGGACACCGGCACTGGGTGGCCCCGGCCGCTCCCGCGGCATTTATTGCTTCCAGCAGGGCCGAGCCGTGGGGCAGCCCCACTTGCAGGGGGACCCAGACAAACACCACACCCCCCCCCCCCCAAAACGCCAGGCGGGGGGTGAAAGGCACAAGGCCAGTGGGGAGGCCAGCCCCCCCATCCTGTGCCCCCCTCCCCTCTGTACCGAGGCACGAACCCCCTGCCCGGGGAGGGGGCTCTGCTCTGGTGAAGGCACGTACCCCCCTCCCGCCCTGTGGTTTTGGGGGTCCCTGGGGGGGGCAGCGGAGGTCTTGGGGTCCCCCCATGGGATGGCCCCGCCCGCCCGCAGGTCTCACTGTCCACAATTTAAAAAAAAGAAAACAACCAAAAAAAACCATCCAAAAAAAAAGGCAAAACCCAAGAAATCCAGGAGACACCCTCCCTGGCTTGGGGGGGGTGTCACACATCCGGCGCCAGGGGGGACACGGGGGTCCCGGTCTGGCACTTCGGGTGCTCCCCTCGATGTGATGTCCCCGATGTCCCCGTGGGGTTGGAGGGGGGGACATCCCCGGGCAGACGTCGACAACGGGGTGCGCCAGGGGGGCCGGCAGGGGGTCGGCGACGAGGGGGGGTGGGGGCAGCGGGGGAGGGGGCCGGATCCTGTGCAGGTTTGGGGGCAACGTGCGGGAACCAGACCCTCAGCATCCCCTCAACCTGCAGCAGTGTCCCCAGGTAGCGGGCGCTGCGGGAGGAGAGAGTGAGCTGTCACCCTGCTGCTGGTGGGGGGGGGGATGATGGGCACCCCATGGAGGGGGTTGTCCCTTTGCCCCCCCCTTCCTCTTCTGGGGACTCTTGAGGGGGGCCACTCACCCCATTTCTGGCTTCTGCAGGACTCCTATGATCCGCTGGATCCGGTCCATGGCCACGCTCTGCTGGAAGCTGCTCAGCCCTGGCGAACCCCAAAAATCTGGGAATCCTCCTTAGGGGTGGGTGAAGGGGGGTAGGAGGGTTCGGGGGGGGCACCCACCTCTGTCGTATCGCCCCCGTTTCAGCCCCTCCAGCAGCTCCGCCAGCGGCCGGATGAAGCCCCGCAGCTCCCGGCACTACGAGGAAGAGGAGGAGGATGGTGGCTGGGCTGGATTCAGACCAACGAGGGGGTGTCATGTTCCCCCCCCCAACCCTGCTTACCCCTCCTCACCCCCCACCTGTTTCAGGTGGGGAAACTGAGGGAGAGATGCATTTTTAGGGGACCAAGCACTGCCCCCCCCCAGGTTTGGGGGTGCTCCTTCGTTTTGCTGCCAAAAACTCACTTTTTGGGCAAAGAGATGATCGCCGTCGCTGGGAGGGGCGTCCCCCCCATCCCCTTTCCGGGGTCGTTTCCCCCCTCGGGGTGACGAGGACAATTCGGGGGGTGCTCGTTGCGGCCCCCCTGGCCGCTTACGGCTCCGTTCAGTTTGGGGGGGGG